TGCCCATTAAATTCAATGTTGATATGCATCTTAATTCTCTGAAGACAGAACCTTTCTACCAGTCTTTTCAATAGCCGATTCTTTATTTGTTTACTTTCTTCTGAATTACTACTTTTCAAATAATCGATAATGAGCTTACCATTATCATCACTATATATGTTATTTTTCACTCAATATAAAGTTATCACTGTCACTTCTATTTGCAAACTTATGAATACATTTTTAGCCGATATTTTTTAAAAATCATAATTATTTTCTTGTTATAGATTAAAAAATTGTCTGATGAATTTCTAGTAGCAGTAATAGTATCTCTTCTCATGCTCTGCTCAATGAAATAAGTTTATCTTAGTCTGTTTTGGGCTTTTGGGAAGAACTGAATTTTATGGTAATATACAACATTCTCTGAAGAACAGATGCTTCAAGCTTTGAAAATCTATTCTGTAGTGTTAAAGCTATTAGTGGAGCTATGATACTTGGTTCTATTTCTAAATAAAGTGTGGATAAAGCAGACAGAACAAATAAATTGTCTGGGGGTGGTACACATTTCATGAAAACTATTGAACTTGCCTCTTTCTTTGAATTTTTTTTATCTTGAAGCCCAACTTTGATACACTTTGGTATTCTGCAAAATAAATTCTAACTAATTAATAAGTTCCTCCTCCTCAAAATTAAAATGCCAAACATTCTTGGACAAATCTCTCCTCATACGTAGAATGCCTTCAGTGACTAGTATTGCTTGCTTGCCACAGTCACTAGAGATGGCAGCTGTGATTACTATCATTAGTCTATCACAGTATGATGGAAGTGGAGAAAAATATAAATCATTATGGATTTCACACAGAAAGTGTTACTCAATGGAGAAAAATACAGAAAAAGTAAGGAAAGAAAAAAAGAAGAAAAAAATAATATATGTATATATGTATACATACATATAAACATACATATATAAAACATTTAAGAATATCTACACAAGTGCACTCAAAAAATAATTGCAAAAACAATACAATTGAAAACTCAAAGCTTGACAATTCTTTAGTGGTTGTAAGATATTCAATAATCTACAGTTATATACATGAATCGGTGTCATTTTTTTACAGCTTCCTGCATGTGTATTTAGAATAAGTGAATTTCATTGATACCCACATTCATTCAATGAATCTACCAATAGGGTTAAATCCCAATGCCAAGCTAAAATTAACATTATCTCAACAGAAATACCCAAGACATAATGCAAGGATAATGGAAACACCAGAATCACACGGGCCTACATACACATACACACTGTACTACCTACACAGAACTTGAACAATATACAAATGATCTGAGAGTGACACACATATGAGCATGAAGTCCATGGAGTTAATGATATCATGGTATAAAATGGGAGACTGAGATGATAATTCAAGGCATATGTTCAATAAAGTAATGACCTATTGTTATCAAGGACAGAAGTGAACGAAATAGTAAAAGCAACAGATGAGAATACAGAAATAAAAAATAACTATCTGCTCTCCTTGAGGTGTTTGTTTGGCAAGATTTATACGGGAATTACTGTTCATTGAGGCGTATTCAACTCAGAAAATACCAAATCATTCTATCTAAAACAAATAAAAGCAAATAGAGGGCCAATATAGACAACAAATGTTCAGCCAATGGTTTTTCTTTACTAGCTAAATGGGTATAGCTTGCAGAAATTAAATCATTACAAAAATTGAGTGATGCAAAAACTACTTCCTTTTTCAAAACAACATGGTATACACAACCCATTTATTTCTATTCTTTAAAATAAATAATAATAATAAACACAAAACCTCTTCCTAAAATCCAATCTCTTTACTTGTGTAAAAACTAAAATCAACAAACCTGTTAATTGTTTTACAAAATGCCTAATAAAAGAACTTGCTTAGCAAATTATTTAATATAAAAGTGTTCCTTATGTCGCCTTTCCTATTTCTATCTTGCGCTGAAGAGCACGATGAGAATGATATATAGCAGCGTCTATAAGGCCAGCGACTGTATAGATTCCACCAATGATAGCACAAACTCCCGTCAGGAAGTGGCCTAAAGATCTGGAAGAGGAAAATTTTCATCAATACAACTACAACTCAATTACAAAACAAATACTTAAATACCAACCCCTATACAATATACTTTAAAAAAATCAGGGCTGAAAGAGAATAAGTTTAAATGAGGTTCTTCATATCACATTCATTACCTTTAAAACTTTAATCTATAGTCCTAAGTCAATGAGGTAAGTTTTGTTAACCTGGGTTATATGTATCTTAGGTAAAAAATGCAACATATAATACAAATTGTAGCTTGAACCTTTACTTTGTGCACATATGTAATAGAAAAAATAGGTACCTGATAGCTTCTTGTGCACACTAGTACCAGATAGGATAGGCACATGATAATATATTAAAATATAAAAGGATAAAGGGTTCATAAAAAACACAAAATTACTAATCATCAATTTTCAACAATTAAATAGTAAAAGCAG